TACTGAACATGTTTATAAGGTTATATTTTTAAGACTGACATAAAAATAGAACCATGTTCACAAATTTCAGATAAGCTATACGCAAGCCACTGAATTTTAAGAATTAAGTTCTACAGTGGGGAGAATTAACTTTGGAAGTAGATAGATCTCATTTTAAATCTTGGCTCTGCCACTTACTAACTTTACGAGTGTGAAAAAATATAAATGATGGAGTTCTGCATATCAAATGAGATCATATATAAGTCACCTAGTACAAAGCATGAACTACTGTTAGGAGCTTAACAAAATATAACTTTCACAGGCATCATTATCAACATTCTCATTATCTGGGTTGTACATTAATTAGCGCTAGTTCACAGGCCATACTTGCCAGCTGGACCCACAGGCCAGGTAGGTCTTAGAAATGTGGGGGTTCAGAAATAAGACATAGTTGAGCTGCTTGACTCAAAGAAGGACTAGGGCAGTTGTGGCTTCAGAAGTCCATTTGTGAAGTTACTGAAACCAGGGTAGTGGTCATAAATAGTGAGTACAATGGCATATTGGCATTTTCCCACAGACAGGAGTAACCATGAGTTATAGGGCCATCTGCCTAGAGACGCTTTGTATATTTCTAACGATGATGATTTTTAGTTCCAACAGAGACACACCATTTTTTCTACCTACCTCTCTCTCAGTTTTAACTTGTTCTTTTGAAAAATATGAATAATTCAGTTCTACTTACATCATGGACTTAATCAGCTAACACATATAAAGCATTCTGACCACATAATGTTACATAGAGAGTACATAATATTATTAGAAGGCAAAATGTAATTAACTTGATTGGTATTTTCCCAGGAAGTACGCTCCGCCCCGCCCCTCCACGCCTCCAGCCCTCTGTGCTCCTGGGGCTGGGAGGGCTTGGCTGCCAGGTCCCCGCTCCCCCCTCCCTCCAGAGGGCCGAGGGTCAGCGCTGGAGGCCAGCACCTCCGCGGTGGGGGTGGAAAGGGCAGGTGTCTCACGTCCTTTGAACTGTTAAGGTTGACCTCAGGGTGTTTGGAAACTTGACTGTAGTTTCCTAAATCTGTACCTGCGCACAGATCTTTATTTTCAGAAAATAAATGGACATAAAGGAAAGAGAACGTGTATAGGAGAGACTCAGTCTGTCTGTGTTGGGCGGAAAGAACCCAGGACCCACAGGAACCTGGGTCAGGTCCAGCGCCGTTACTGGCCGGCCGTGACCCTGACCCAGACCTGAGCAGGACTCAGAGGGCGAGGTCCTGGATTTGGATGAAACCTGACCAAATGGCCGGAAAAGCTGCTGTTTTTCTGTAACCAAGGCAACAGGAAACCACGGGCTCACAAGACAAGTGGATCAGCCCAGGGAATGCCAAACGCGGAAGAGAAAATATTTCCAAAATTCCATTATTTCCAAAAGCTGGACATAGAACTAGAAATATCTGCCAGCGTGCAATGCCTACCTTCTCTCTTGTGTTCAAGCCAGCTCCTGAGGGGCAGGCCTCTCCCGGCTGTGGCTGCTGCTCCTCCTGGTTGTTTCTGAAAGCATCTGAGAGCCTGTGGGCACCAAAGGTAGTGACTCAGCAGGTGCAGCAGCAGAATAAACAGAACCAGGTTTGGCTCACTCAGGGAAGCACCCCCACCCCCCCCCCCCCCCCCCCCCCCCACCGACGACAAACAGCAGCAGGTTTGTGCCACAGGGGCCTTGCGACCTTAGTCCCTGTAAGGTCAAACCCCATAGTCAGGGATGAAGTACAAGAAGCCCAGTCTCCTGAGATCCAAACTAGCCACCTCCACTCATTGGAGCTCATGGGAAAGATGGCTGTGGTCCTTCAGGTCAAGGAAAGGAGATGTAGATACGGGTGGGCAAGCATAGCTTTACAGTTGTTCATGTGGAAAAGAATACAACTAAATTGTAGCGCGCCAAAACTGGTTTGGCTCAGTGGATAGAGCGTCGGCCTGCGGACTGAAAGGTCCCAGGTTCAATTCCGGTCAAGGGCATGTACCTGGGTTGCGGGCACATCCCCAGTGGGAGATGTGCAGGAGGTAGCTGATCGATGTTTCTCTCTCATCAATGTTTCTAACTTTCTATCTCTCTCCCTTCCTCTCTGTAAAAAAAAAAAAAAAAATCAAAAAAATATATATAAAAAAAAATCGTAGCGCAAGAGTGCACTCACAACTGTAAAAAGACATGTTTGTTAAATTCTCTATGTCAGGGGCTATATTTTCCACATATCTCCACAGTGGGAGACACCATTGTAGCCCATACTAGTTATTGGAAGATCAGCATTTTCTTCAGCCTCCTAAACCTGTTTTAATGCAAACCTATTTCCTCTTACTGATTGCCATAAAGTTTTGGAAAAACAGATCAATATCTCTTTATAAATACCATCTTCATAACAATGAGAAAGTGTTTCACTTGATAACTGCCTTCCAAGTTTCCTCTCTGTTCCGGCCTCACCTTCACTCACCAGGTTTTCATTCTCTTTCCTATCACCATTCTACGGCAGCTTGGAACTTCAGAAAACAAGAAAGTGAGTAGAGCCTTCCTGGTTCAATGGGCGCTGAGTCAAGGTTCCTGGAGCCAACAGGCCATGTTGCTGGGTGTGAGGCCTCAGGTGCTTGGGCTGATAGGGGTAGGCGGGGAAATGCTGGCCTAGTCCAGGCGGGAGCAAGGCCGGACACAAGATTCCTCAGAAATGTTATAGGGAAGCTAGTCACATGACCAAGTGATACAATTGTTCTCCTTAACCAGAGCCCAGAGCCCTTAACCTTGAGCTTAATACTTCAAATGCTGACGTTTTAACCCAAAGGAAAGAAAACACTGATGTCAACCTGCAGGCAGGTGTTTATGACTTATAATTATAAAGTTTTAGGGGCTTTGTGCCAACGTTTATCTTCAATGAATGTGGTTTCACATAATCTACTGGCATTTCATGTGCTACCTGGACTTGTTCTGAGAGGGCAGGTGAGATTTATGGAACCTGCAGAAACAGGATGATCTTGTCCATGGCTGCGCCAAGACACGAAGGGCTACTGGGAAAGACAGTGATTGACGTGTGGTACAGTGGGTATCTAAGAGTGTCACACGCGAGGGACATCACTTCACCCCCGAATCAAAGGGACGAGGAAGTTCCCAAAACCGGTTCCTAAAAACTGGATACTAATTAAACAGGAAGGCAAGTAATAAATTACCTGTGCAAAGATATACTTTTAGAGGAAATTGCAAAGTTTAATAATTTATTTTGTACTTTAAGAGGATGTTTATTGATTTTGAGATAGTTTTTTTCTCAAAGACCTAGACAATGATGGGGCATGGAGCATGAATGTGTTTGACCAGGTTCTGGCCCACACAGCAGGTTCTGATGATGACCCAGCTCTGGTGGGAAAGCCAGGAGGTCTGGGGTCAAAGCCTGGCTCTGTCACCTGCCAGTCATTGGCCCAATGATATTGCATTGGGACCGAGAGTTACCTCAGTGTCTCGTGGGGAGTGTGAGGGAGCATGTGAGAGTCTCATACAGCCCTTTCCTGCCTGGGATGACTCCTTTCCTTCCCCCAATAGCCTCTGCTCAGCTGAGGCCTGGAGGGTGTGGGCACCTTTTCCAGGGCCTCCGTCCACAATATGCTTCTCTTCTGCAGTAGCTTCAGGGAAGCCTGTCGGAAATTTGTTAAACGAACCCATTTAATATTCCAGGTGAGCAGACGGGTACTAGTTTTCATCCTCAAAACTCCATTTTTTAGGGTCCGGAAATGCCCTCAGGGGTCGGTGACGGGGCACCTGCTTCCACGGGTTGTGAAAGAGCCACGTCAGTTATTAGAACTGTATCCCAGTCTACAGTCAGATGAGGACAGAGTGATGCCCATGGAGCCTTCTCCATCCACCACCTTAACTTCCAGGAAAACAAGTGTGCACTGGGGGCAAGATGCACCTGCGGCATACTCCCACAGTCTCACCATTCCCACCCTTCCGCTGTTCCCACACCTTCCCAGTGACTCCCATTTCCTTGGGTCAAGGGCAGGTGATCCTCTTACCCCTTCAGTCTCACAGGTCATGGACTCACCTTGGCCAACAGACCGTCAGCAGACAGGAGATGAGACTGAGCCCTATGTGTGCCACCCCCTCTTTGCTCTGCCGGCCCTTTTCCCCAAGGACCGCAGAGTGTGGATGGCAGCTTTATTTTTTTAATGTTCCCATTATAATTCTAATGTGAATAGAAAGATAGAATATATGCATGCATCCTATTTTCTTTCTATTAACATAGATCCAGAGAGGTTATATATCGCCTGTATATGTATATGAAGATTATGAATAAATATAATGTCTGTAAGCACATAGAAACTCCACAAGGCTGGTGGGGACT